TCAGGCAAGAACTCATTAGGCAGGAGGATGATCATGGGTTTCCTCATGCCTGCAGGATTGGCTGGCCTGTTGACTGGCCACAGTGGGAGAAAATTATGCTACTGATTGCTATTTTTCTATTATCTGTGGGAGATCTTTGAAAGGTGTTTATGCTTCTCAGAGACCTGTCTCCTAGAGTTTCCTTTTTATTTTTTGCCATGCGACAGGTTTTAATGTATGCATCACCTTTAATTCAGATTGTGGTTGCATTCTGCAGCACATTATAAATATCTCTTCTTAAATCCAGGAGAAATGTCAGTATCCTCCTGAGAAATTTCTGAATGTAGGAAGATCTGAAACCTCATTTCTGATTCTAATAAAATGAAATACAAGTATCACCAGTTTTTAAAGATTTCTCTGGTGTCCTCTCTCAGCCCTGAGCACTGCTTTATCTCTTCTCACACAACAGCTAACAGGTGATTCTAGGAACTGGTAACTCAGTAGGGTTTTTTGAAATTGTTATGAGGTTTATGAAAATGAATTCTTTTATGTAAGGCAAACAAGAAAGATGAAAAGTTTTAAAGAGCATCTTCACTTCTTTTCAGAAAACTTGCTGAAAGTTCCTTTTTTTCAGCCATTAGAAAATGTTGATGTTTCTTAGTATATAATGATTGGAGTCACAGATCTGACAGATAATAACAAACTATTTTCAAATTTAGTCCTAGAAATCTTCAGTTCTCTTTAAATCACCTGTTTTCAGAGGGAGAAGTATGCTGCTCAGCATAGTTGCCCTTGCTTGTACTGTCCTGTGCTGCCATAGATCGATCTGAGGTAGGTGTCAGTGTCAGTAATCATTCCTTGGATATGCCATTTACAGAATAATGATGCAAAAAAGTAAGATAATCTGTAGTTAAAAAAACCCAAAACTTTCTCAAGCAACTAGTATGAAATGTCACCGTCCAAATCACATCTATTCTCTCCTCAAAGTTCCCGAGTAGCTCACAGCAGTTTGCTTCGCAGTCATGAGTTCAGCGGTATGAATGGAGTTACAAAATCCCTGTGGAACTCTTGTGGTTTGGGCTGGAGTGCAATCAGACTGGCAGAGCTCAGTAAGCATGCTGCCCGTTTCATCGCAGTGCTGTTTGAATTGCTACAGTTGATTTACACACGGGAGCGAGCTAATATTAATGATACTCAGTTTCAGGAGGAGAATATGTGAAAAGGTTTGCTTTAACTATTACATGACTTGTTTTAACAATAAGTTTAATTTTAAACATAATTCCAAAGGAAAGAAATGAGAATCCAGGGAGCTATTCTGTAGAGCTCCCATCAGATTACCCTTCTGTGGTCAAGAAATTGTTTATGAAGCAGCTTTATCTTGCATAATTTTTTCTACAGTTTTAAAGTAAAAATGGGCTTCCTGCTGGTTTTGTCATCAACATTCAAATGGGTTCTTGAGTGTGTCCAGTGCAAGGACCTCTGCTGAGTTTGACTCCCTAAACTATATGCCTCTAATAGTAATCTAACTATAAAACTGGGTTGTTTTTTTTTTTTACTTTAAACATTTTAAAACCTTATATGCCAACAAGCATAAGTTGGAAACAAGAGAAGAAGTAGGATAGAAGGAAATACTTTTTTACCCTGGGGACAATCAAGAACTGGAGTGGTTGCCCAGAGAGGTTATACAATTTCCATTCTTGGAGAATTTGAAGACTGAACTGGTTAAAGCTCTGAGCTACTTGTTCTGACCTCGGAGCTGACCCTGGAGCTTGGACTAGGTGTCCTTCCACAGGGTCTTCCAACTTGAATTGTTGTCTGTGATTCATTATATGAATATTTTAAAATTACCTTGAACTTCCAGCTAAATTTATTCGTGAACTATTTGTGTCTTTGAGCTCTTTTGCTTCTTAGTCTTGTTCTTTGCCTGAAATAAATTTCATTCTGCAATGTATTAACTGAGAACAATAACATTCGTTTTCAACTTTTGTTGAGAACAAGCCACGATCTTCTAATTTCCTCGTGTGAAACAGAGTCCCTACTCCTTTTTCATCCTAATATCCCCTCTCTGCACCTGTTCTGATTGGAATTCATCCATCTTGCATGTAGGTGATCACAGCACTGCAGTACTGCACAAATCCAAATACAAGGTCAACGGAGAAATATTCATATCCTGCACTAGGCACTCGTGCTCTTGAAAACATTCCGCAGCACAATGCAGCCATAGACTGTATTTAATTTTTTCACAGCTGCACCCTGCCCATACTAATCCTCTCACTGTTTATCACTTCCTGATCTTGTTTTAGATATATAGAAATACGTAAATGCAGACATATGCAAAATTATTATGCCATAAAAATGATTAATGATGAGAAATCCTACTATTAAAAAGGTTTCTCTGATATTTGCCCTAAACAATTCTCTCACTACTGATTTTTTTTTTCTCAGAAGCTGCTAAGTGTTTGAGACCCGGGTGTCGTTCAAATATTTGTACACAGAAATCGTGTCCTCTTTTAAATTACATCTATTGATCTTTTCCGGTGAGTCATTTTTTCCAGCATGTTAATTATTTGGATGTGAATGAAAAAGATTTCTTTCCAACAAAATGCTTTCATATAGTTCTCAATTTTTTTTTTTTAGTATTCTCTAAAAAAGATGCCTGAAATATTCTTTAAATCCCAGGGATCACAAGTACCTAAAAGGTGTGAGACAGAACCTTTTAAGTAGTGTATTGATGACAGAATGCCTTATTCTCCTTGTATTACAAGAGTCTTTGAGATACCGATTCCAATTTAGTCATGTGGAATGCTGGTCCTTCTGGAAAAGCGGGCTTTATTTAAGTAGTAATTAAGATCAAGCAGTTCCCAGTGATACAGCATGTTTCCCCACTCATAATTTCCCTTATCTGCTGTTTCTCCACAAATTCCTCCTTTGGGAAATAGTGTGAAGCTAATCTGGAAGTGAATCCTGATAGTTTCTCAATGAGATTGCCAGTCAGATGTTGATAATTTGCCACGCAGGAGATGAATTGGTTTTTTTTGAGATAGCATTTTGTTGTTCATGGTTTACGTGCTGCTTCTCACATTAATTGTTTAAAGAGCAGTAAGTCAACTCTAGGTTTAGTAAGTAAGATTTGAGCTTGTGAGACAGTAATGCAGAATGCTGGGCCCTGCATAGAGTTCATTGGCTAAATGTTTATGAATATATAAGGATCTCTTAGCTCCAATGCTTAAATTATTTCTATCTCCCTTCCAAGTGTGGTTGCAGAAGCCTCCCGTGTCTGGTCTTGGCACGAGAGCTTCCTCTAAAGGGAAAGCAGGCACTGATTCCAGCACCATCCTGTTGATCCCTGAGAGGGAATTTTCCAGCCACAGCACCCCAGCTGCTGCACAAAACAACTCTAAAATTTCTCAGCCATTGGTTACTACTTACTTTGAAACAGAAAAATGTTTAACTGTGTACTGTGTGCAGGTGCCCAGGTGGGGATGGGAGCTGCAGGAACAGCCTCTGTGAGGAGAGGCTGGGGCTGCCCTGTGCCAGACACAGCAGAGATGCTGCTGTGACCCTGGAGAGATCCAGGTGGGGCAGGTATTTCCCTGAAGCCCATGGAGAGACCACAGTGGGGCAGGTACCTCTTGCAGCCTGTGGACAGGAGCAGATATTTGAGCTGAAGCCCCTGGAGGACTCCACACCCCAGCAGGTGGACATGCCCCGAAGGAACTGTGGCCCGTGGAGAGTAGTCCATGGTGGAACAGATCTATCCTGGAGGACTGCAGCCCCAGGGAAGGACCTGGGCTGGAGCAGGGAAGAGCGTGAGGAGGCAGGAGCAGCAGAGAGGAGCTGGCAGGGACTGAGCGCAGCCCCCCATTCCCCATCCCCCTGCCCCGCTCAGGGGAGAGGGGGTCAAGGAGTCAGGAATGGAGGGGTGAAACCGAGCCTGGGAAGAAGGGGAAGGGGAGGGATAGGGGCTGGAAGGAAGGTGTTTAAAGTTTTGCCTTTGTTTCTCACCATCCAACTCTATTTTAATTGGCAATAATTTTCATTTATTTTCCCAGTGTTGTCTCTATTTTGCTTGTGACAGTAATTGGTAAGTGATACCCTTGTCTTTGTCTCAGCCCACAAGCTTTTTCATCTTACTTTCTCCCTTTGTTCTGCTGAGGAGGGGGAGAGAGCAGTGGGGTGGGGATCTGACAGCCAGACAACATCAACCCACCGCAAGCTGCTGTAAGTCACCTACAGCTCTCACAGTCATTTCAGCCCTACTTTTTCATCTCGATCTTCAACAGCCTGAGTTATTGTCTTGGCAATTATTTCTACTTCCATTTGATTACATGATATTAGAATTTTTGCCATGAGACAAAAACAGGGAAGCAAACTTCACAGCATTGATTAGCTATCCTGATAAAGATGAATATTGGCTCATTTTTCATATGATGATTCGTTACCTGGCAAAATTAAGGCTCTACATTATTTCTATTTCAGTTTCCATTAGAATTTATTATTATTCCAGAACTTGTAATGTACATTTCTTTTTCTTTTTTTTTTTTTTTTTTAAAAAAAAGGGATGTCAATGTGCTACAGTTAGAATGGTACTAGAAATTCAAAGGCTGCTAAATTGAGCACCACTGCTTGGAAGGTAATGCCATTTCTGCACACAGGCACAGCCCCAGCACCCTGCAGATCTTAGACTCGAGAGGAACTGCACGACTCTTCCCCTGCCTGTGTCACACTTGTGTCTGACATCTTGCTAGTCCACGTGAGAGAGCTAAAAGAAGAGTTGGCATCTTCCCTCATGTTTTGAAGAACATCCATCAGACTTCTGTTTAAAGGCAAGGGACAACATATCTTTTACTTACTGAGTAAGTACTTACTTTACCTGAACTGAACTACAAACAACAACAAAATAAAGACAGAAAAGGTAGAATACTTCACTTGTGTCAACACTGTTCTATTTTTGGAAGAAGCTTGTTCAGTTTAATTCTCATGAAAGTGGGAAAAATAACAGTAGTGGATTAAAGCCAGAGTTTATGAAAATACATTTAAATATATTTTTTTACTTAAAAATGAGTTTCCTCATCATTCAAAGACCTAAGAGTTAAACTATATTGTATACACCTCAGGTACAAATTGACAAAAGATCTAATAAACCAGACTATATAAAAAGCAAGAGACTTTTTTTTTTCCAGAAAAATGTATTTGTGTTTTAGCTGATCATATAAAAAGCATTAAATTTTAAAAAAATTTGTATATATATTTTCAAGTGTTGATGGTTCCACCATTCATTGTAACTACATTCCAAAGTCCAGTAACATCGGGGCACATATCTGTGTAGCACAGTGAGCATAATCTTTACACTGAGGTCACTCTCATCACTACTTCCCCGGAGCCGTTATCTTCTGATGAATCTTCCTGAGGTCTCATGCGGTTGAACAGATGTAACAATACGTAGCCACACTGGAATCTTGGTGAGGTTAGCTGTGTTGGATGAACTAAACTTCTGTTTCTAAATGCAGTCAGCGGTAACCACAATGTCCTTCCTGCTGAGGCTTCTCCTCGATTGCTCTCTTCTATGTCTGTGGCTTTATCGTAATTTAACACATCCCAGTGTAGATTAACAGCCCTCCAGCGCTTAAACACTCGATAAACAGATGCGCCTTCATGTACTATCAGTCCTGAAATTAAGAAAAAAAAAATTAGGTTGTACAAAATGTCACTGGATACCACTTTGAGAGCAAATACAGATGTAACACATTGAAATGAATCTGGCAATTGCCAGAGCTATTAAATTACTTGTAACTCTGATAATTCAAATAAATGGTACATATGCAATATAACTTGTTATTCATGTGTTTAACATTGAGAGGCAGGACCATGTAGTGGAAATAAAATTGTTCTGAATGAAAGTTCAACATAACCAATACTGCAATAATGTGAGCATGCCCACCTAAATAAAGTATTTAGGTTTAAGTAAACCAATATAAAAGAACCTTACTGGTAGATCTGTAAATTGACTGTTTAAGCAAATGTTATTCTTGTTGATCGTAAGCACTATTTACTGAGATTTGTACTAGTCTAAGTAGATATTTAAGTAAGTTAAATCTTCTGTAATAAGCAAGATGGTCTTAAATTTGTTTAAGACTGTTTTGTAGAATTCAGTACAGATGCAAACTAATTTAACTATTTTCACATTCTTAGTTCAACTTGGGAGCACAGAAGATTTATGAAAACCTGAAACAGATGTAAGTATAATGACTTTCCTGTCTTGCTTCAGTAGAGCAAGAAGAAATTAAATGTTAATATTAACTATGATGAGCATGGCAGGGATGATAGACTGTCTTCTTTCTCTTCAAAACTCAGTAGATAGAAGTAGAGAAACACCTTTTTTGTTGAGACCCAGGAAATCTTTTAAAAGCTACTACAAAGGAAATACAGAGTATCTGGAGTCCTCAACAGACCAATCTGCTTATGAGCTTCCATGTAGTTAATACTTATGCTTACTGTACGCATGCAACCAATTTATTTACTTAAACTCTTCATTTTTTTGTATGTATGTATATATGTATATGTATTTATACACACCCTCTTTATGTGTAAGTATTTCAATTATGGATTTACTGGGGAGACATATGGGGCTTCAGTGTTCTTAATAGGTTTTTCCTCTGTTCCTTAACCAGCCTGGTAACTTAAATGGTTCTGAGAAGTCTCACTTTTTTCCTCTGATTCCCTGCTTTCAGAGGAGAGCAATCTGCCTAGAAAAAGATTTTTATAAATTTTTTGTCCAGTGTTTCCTGCCTGTACATGGGCACATCTGCAATTTTATCTGTGGTGTTACAGGTATAGTCCTCTATTGTATAGATACTGTATATCACCTGTTCCTACACAACAAAAATGTGATTTAAGTGTCTGAGGTCTCTTAGCATGGTTAACTGATACCAGAAAGGAGATGTTCAAAGAAAGATGATAAGAGCAGAAAAGATGATAAAAATATTTGTATGAACAGCAAACGTCAGATTCAAGCGCAATGTTTTGCAGATAGCAATGCCTACTCTAAAACATTTTTTAAAGATCATTACATTGAAAGATGGAGAAACAAGATTGCTTTCAGAAGGACACGATAGCAAAGGCAGCATCTCTGTAAGGATTTCAAGTTGTCTAGAATTCATTGAAGCATCTAATACAGCAAACCTAACACAATATAGACTTAATTAAATGTTAAATACTCTAAGTGTATTTTGTATCAGCATAGCATTTTAGTGAAAAATTTTCTTGATGTGCATTTTCATCTTCTCAGATATATAAAAAGCAACCAGTCTTAAAAATTTAGCAGCCATGTTAATACATAAATGCATCTTCAAGACTGGCTGTATTGTCTTAAAAAGAAAAAATGTATTTGATCACGTACAAAATCTACACACCAAATAATCCACAGTTTTATTGCTATGACAAAGATGGCCCCTTTTATATTCTGTTGGATTTCCTATAGAATGATAATGACATGAGCATAATTTTCCCTGAAATTGTCACTGGATCATAGTATTGCTTGGCCCAGTTTTCCTCAAGACGGAGATAAAGAAAAATTGAGAAAACCTGTTTACCCCAATGTAAAGATTTTTGATACCTGCCCGCACTATATTGGAACCTGAACAGCATAAGGAAGTAGTTGAGAAGAGATCATTTCAGTACATGAAGTACATTTAAACAGTCAAAAGTATCTTCTCAAAATTATCACAGAAAAAGTCATAGGACTTCTTCTTTTAGAGATTCTTTTTTACTTTTTTTGAGCTTTCAGGATTTACTGAAATTATGTTTTCAATGTTTTTGCAACAATGGCAAGGAAGAGAACTTTTCTTTAAAATGGAAGGTGTTATTCATAGATGCTCCAAAAGACCTAACAAACAAAGGATCAAATATTGCAAGGCTTGAAATAAAGTTGTCAGATTTGGAGAAAAGGAGCACTACCGTAATTCCTTCCATAAAAAGCTTTATTTCCCATCTGACAAAACTACAGGTTGAAAAAGACCTATGTAGAAGAGGCAAAAGAATTCTGATAGATCTTTTGTGTGTTTGAACAACAGTTCCAAGACCACAAACAAGGAGAAATCTGGGTAAAGTTTAAAAGCTGGAGATTTTCCAGTTCCAGAGGAGCTTTGATGCTCAACATATAAGTAGTTAGTCACTAAAGTGAAGCTGTAAGAAAATGGCAAAGAATCTCCTTTCACAGCAATGAATGAGGATATGAGAGAGAAAACAAGGATAAATCCATGAATAATACTGACTTGTTCCAAATACCATAATTTCAACAGCACAGAGGCCATAGTTGCAGTCCTAGGGAAAAAAATTCATAGAGGCCATAGTTGCAGTCCTAGGGAAAAAATATTACTCGTTTTTCCAGATGATCCTAGGAGAAAGTGTTAGAATTCTCTACTGTTAGCTGTTCTGATATTCTGTCTAATTAATAGCTACAAGGAACAGAGTTTTGGTGTGACGGATCTGGCAAAATGTACTGAGACTCTAAGAAGACTTTATGTTCTGGATTTATTTCTAAGATGTAGGGACTGTCATGGGAATCAGACAGTAGGATTATAGAGATATCATTACTTTATTTTCTTTTTATTGCCAAGAACTATGTGATTCTTTTATTCTTTCCACAGGATTTCTTACCCTGAGTCACAAGATCACTTGAAATTTTTCATACTGGACATCTTTACAGGTAGGTAACTCATTTTAGTTCGATAGGATTTGTTGATTTTAAGTTCCAAAGTTGTCTTGTTTATCACGCTAATCTTACTCATAATCATTTAGGAACGGTTCTCCCCAAAGCATCACAAAATTTTACCAGGGAATTAAAAAAAAAGACCCTTTTCAGAAACAGACTTTACCACTGGACAAAATGCCATCTCTTAGTACTGTTCTAGGGCCCATAGATATAAAAAAATGTAATAAATTCTTCAAAGCATTAAAGTGAAACATGTCCACTCTAAAATTAGCGGTCTCAATATAAGACTTTCTAAACTACTTAGAATTAGATCTAATGTGAAAAAAATCCTCCTTCTTGAGTAGAAAAGTATTAAGTGCAGCTAGATGTGTTCATTATAAGTAACTTCAGCCTGTACATTTCTAAATCTAAGGAGTTACATGAATGTTGTCAGGCATCAAGTTCCTTGGCAGGGTAGAAAGAGGCTTTCAGAGGGCTATTCACACCTCTCATTGGCTCCTATCTCTTACTCCCTTGCCATAGTGCTAATGGCACCACTCATGCTTCTAGGGCAACCTTACAATTGCTTTTCACACTCTAAAGGAGCTGCAGTGTTTTTTCTGAGATTGCGAGTGAGCTGCTATTATTCGTGAGAGATTTTATTCATGTTAGAACCATTTATAGCTAGTAGTTACGACTATGTTCTGGTGAAAATATATAAGAGTATATGAAAATATATAAGATTATGTTTCCAGTATGAGAAATAATTGCTAGGTCTACAAAGTAGAGTGGCAAAGGTTTGGTGTACCGTCCTTCAGTGGTTAAAGGGATTTATATTATTTATTCCTTTAATATTAGCTCATTAATTTATTTCCATTGGTAATCCCTGCATGGATGGTCTGATCCTAGTACTACCACTGCCATAGCTCTGGGTTTCAGAGGCAATAGTTCTACTTGATTAAAATGTTCAAGGTTTGCCTTAGAAAATCTTCTGTCATCAGCAAGAAGCAAAGGAACAGCTTTATACCCAGCTTAGGGGCAGAAATGTACAAACCAGTGACTCGTACAGTTGAAACTAACACTGATAAGTCAAAATGATCCTATTAGGAAAAAGTCTGGAAAAATTTAGAGAAGAACAGTGGATACCAACAAAATATGTACACCGGAATGACTAGAATTTATTATATTGGTGATCTGTAATCTTTGGGATTTTTTTTTTTTGGGGGGGGGGGGGGGAGAATTCATTCTTGTATATCTCCAAACAAGTTTTATCTATTTTTTGCTTTATCAGTTCTGATGAAGTCATACTGGTCTCCGTGGAAAATAAAAATTCAGCAACTGAAAATAATTCAGGTATTGAAATTTAATGTTGAATCCATGCATGCTAATGAATTTACTACATTACATTACAAAGTACATCTAGAATATTGCCAGCTACTCGTGTTTTTTCTTTTTTAAAATGTCAAAATCCAATTGTGATTCTGAAATGCTTACAGATGTGCCAGGTTTTTGTGTGTATTTTTTAATTGATACATTAGCATGCTTTTGGTTTATCAAGATGGCAGCTCGTAGACTTGCATTATTTTTAAAATGTTTCAGTTAAAACAATTCAAAGTCCACAAAACAAGACCAAGAATTAAAATACAAGTTAAGTGTAATTTAATTGAGAAGAAGGTGGGTGATATGCTACGTATGGTACATAAATCAATCATTGGGAAAACAAATTTAATATGTGCACGTTTTCAAAGATTGCATAATTTTATCAGTACCTTTAGGCAAACTGCTTTGCTTTTTAACAAGTACAGATATTTACACTTCACAAATTACCAAAAATATTCATATTGTTTATGCAAAGCTATAGGGAGGCATAACCAACGGCAGTTGGAGTAAGTCTGGGTCATGCCACCAGTAACTCAGGCACCTGTCTTGAACTATGTGCTTCACGTGAAAACCTAAATGTCTGCATAGATTTTTCACTGAAATAGAGGTGCAGTACTCACTCACTGTAAATCCTGTTGAAAGCTAAGAGAATGCCATGGACGACTAAACACAAATAAGAGAGGAGATACTAGGTAAGAACTGTGACTGGCTGTAAGCATTACAAGCCTTATGATATAACAGATTATATATAATATGCAATGATAAAATCATATGTTAATGCCTTTGGGAAGTGATCAGCATAATGGACAGTGTTAGGGTTTTTTAAATCATTCATGAGTAATAATTACATCCATCTATTAGAGAATTTTACTGAAATGTTTTAAATTAAAACTATCAATCTAAAATCCTTCATTTTATGATGAAAGAAAAAGCTAAAATTGAATAAAGTTGAATTGATTAATGAAGATTTTCCTGGTCTTAAAAGCCTAGAGAATTCAGATTAATATGCAGAATAAGTGGGTTGAATGAATTTGGTCCATCAGGATTCTACAATTACCAAACCTCCTTTATACAGCTTTCTGAATTTCCAGATACAATTTAGTAAACCGTTAAGTCATATCTGCACTGAACTTTGTAATTACAAAACAGGGTCCAAATGTTTAGTCAGTTTTACATAAAGATTTCCATGTATTATTTATAATAGGACTATGAAATATGCATTTATGTAATTACAGACAAGTCAGTTTATGTGGTGCACGTCCACTTCTCTCCAGCATGGTGCCAGTTAGGCTAGAAGCTCCAAGGCCGTGTGAGGTACGTGTCAGTTCAGTAGTTTCCAGTCCAGAGGTGGCTTGAGCCTGGCTGGCTTGAAAGGCAGGCACGTAACTGCATGTACCAATCCATTGAAGGCTCACCTTACAATAGTTTATTTATACAGATAAACACACTGATATTTCTGATCACCCACAGATGTTCTCCATTGATTTTGAGATTCATTTGATTTAGGTGTTTTAACAGTCAAAGAAATGGAAACAGCTTTAAATAACTGGTTATTCAACTGTTGATGCATACCGAAGTGATTTTTTTGTAATTGTAATCTTTGTGAAAAAACAGAATTCTGTATAAATGAAAAGTTAGAATACCTGAAGTACAGTTTGTCTTCAATCAGTGTTTTTTTTAAACAAAAGTAAACACCTCAATATTGAGAGTTAAGCCGGAAAAATTGGTGTTCAGGAATCAGCATGTAAGAGGACATGTAGATGAGCTCTTTTTTTCATTTAGAAGCTTAGCACTTGTCCGGAGTATTAGAGATCTAGACTTTGTTCATTGTTCTGGCTGAGAAGAAAGCCTGAGTTCTAAATATTCCAAAATGGGTTTCCCTTAGAAAAATTACAAAATAAACAGAACTGCTGATCCAGCTGAAATATAAATACTCTTACAGTAATGTGATGGTTTCAATAAATGATGATACAGCTTTATGGTTGGAGCAAAAGCCTTGATACAAGGAATGACTTTTTCTTTGCACCTTAGTGAGAAGAATTCAGCACTGTCCTTCTGAATTCCCATATATGAGATGAGGATAATATCAACATTTATCATTCAAAAATCTCAAAGAAAACATCAGATAGCATTTGACCTGGATTGTCTTGGAATTGCAATTCTAAGAATGCAGTTTAATGTTTACTGCAACTGTTAAATTTTTCTCTGCAAATAATTGTAGCTGTTCTAACAATGAATTCAAGATTGTTTTATCGAATACTAAATGGATTTCTATTTAAAATTTCTGGGTCCAGTATATTTGCAGAAATGTCAAAACTGGCCATAATAGCTTTGCAGTAAATTGCATTTTCTTTTATAAGATTTCCACTAAAGTTGAATGATTTGAGACTTTTAAATAGTATAGTAAGTTATTATAGGTAGCAATATTAGATTGTTTGATAACTGTTTACGGTGTGCAAAGAACTCATGCCTGTCTTCTCTGTTCTTTTCTATTACCTGCACAGTAACCTATATAAGCCTCTGTGATTTAATTTTTGGATATGGAATAGATATGTAGTAGCCCTTGACATCCTCAAGGGCTTCTTCTGCACTTCTTGATGGTAAAATGTAATGCAAAATGGCACTAGTAGAAGACTTGACAGCATGTAATATTACTTATTATTTTAATAACATCCTGTTATTTTCATCAATTTAACTTCCTGAACTTTGCTAGCTGTCCATTTTTCAGGAAATTCAAACTGATTTTGTTCTCACCACTAAGATCTTGGGGAGACATTTTGATGAATCAGAGTAAAATTTCTTTGGTTCTTTTATCTTTGCAGTATTTGTAGCACTGTAAAAAGCAGTATTTGCCAAAGGTACCAGCTGAGAATAAATCTGCAAAGAATTGAGTGATCAGAGTGACCAATTAGAAAAATAAATATAGTCACAGTCTTAAACCACAGTCTCTGCTGTTTAAAGATTTTGAGCTTACCTATGCATACTAGATCCATAAAACCATACATTCCATAGCAGATTTGAAAAAGGATGTCCTTTCTTTGCCATACTGCATAAGGGCTGAAGGCTGACCATAGAAGCCAAGTCACACTTGCTACTAAGAACAGAGATCCTAGGATTACAGCAACCATCTGTACTTTCTCAACCAGTGTTATAGTAATGCTTTGCCACTAAAAGAGAAACAAAGTTGTATAAGATAAAAATGTTATTTTCTGAGATTGTACATTCAACTTCACTTTTTTCCTGAAATCAGAAATTATTTTAATATGTATACATATCTTCATAAATCTTTACTAATATCCTTAATACTGTCATTTTATATAAGTTTTTTACCTATTTCACTTTTAGTTAAAGTGAAAATAATTGTTGCTTCCACAGCCCCTCCAGCGTCACTATCACCACCATCTAGCTGAGAAATTCAGAAGAGTTAATAGTTTTATTTCTGGTTCGAATACATAGGCAAAAAATTATTTAGTCTTAGGAATGGAAATCAGCCTTTCATATTTGTAGGCTAATGAAGAGAATAAAAAAATGTTGGGAAGACAATCTTCAGTATGTTAGTGTGATAGATTGAAAGTGACAACTCTCCTTTCAATCCCACCCCCCTTAAGTCTGAAGCCATTTTCCACTTTTCCTGCTGCTCATCCAAGAAGTTCCAGGCTATCTCCAGACACACCAAGGGAGTTGGGTTAATCAGTGTTAACATTACCAAGAGACACCTGCAGCCTAGTATGGAAGCAACCTGAAGACTCAGGAGGAGCCCTGAATATAGGTACCATGAACATATCGTTTCAATGCACCTCGATTAGATTCACCTTTCCAGGTAAGGCTGTATGTATCCTCTGTATGTGAGGTGATTCAGATTTATGGTGTGACAAGATTTAAAGATAAAAGAGTATGCTTATTGAATTCTGTCAAGATAAGAACAGAAATAAAATATTGTTAAAACGAAGAGTCACAAAAGCAAAACACAACATAAGAAAAAAAGCATTCTAGATTACCCTTCACATATATGGTCTTTCTTGACCATAATTGTCTAAATTAGCCCAGCAGACTCCCCAGTCTAGCCCCATCACCTACTCCAGAGCTAGTATGCAGACTTTGTAGACTGCCTTCTTTCATGTTCCTGACTTTGAACATACCTGCCCTCTTATACAGTTGTAATAGAGAAAAATTGGAGAAAGAGCTACTGAATTAAAGGCACTATTACCTCTTTACTCATCTGGCAATAATTTTTCCTTTTTGCTGTTACTATATGAAAGCTTTCTCTTTTTACCAGCAGCTGGGTACCCAATACTGTATGGTCATAGTATGCTAGAATAATTCAAGTGGCAAGGGGCTGTGGGAAGCCTCCAGTTCAACTTCATGCTCAAAACAGGGTCAGTGATATGATCAGACCAGGTTTTTCAGGGCTTCATTCAGTAATACCTTGAGAACCTCCAAGCATGGAGACTGTCCAGCCTCTCTGGGCAACCTGTGCTGCTTTTGACCATCTTCAGGTTGAAAAATGTTTTTCTTATAGCTAGGATGATTCTCTTTTGTTCCAACTTATGCTCTCTTCCTCCCATCAAGTACCACTGTGAAGAGCCTGAGCGAGCAATGAGGTCCTCTGCCCCTTTCTTCTCTTTCAGTTTTTTCCAGTAACTTTTCTACTATTTCCTGCCTAATTTGCACATCTGGTGCCGCATGCCTTCTCTTGTTGCAGCCTTCTGAACACAATAGTACAAAAAGATAGCTATGTAACAATTTGTAAAATGTCTACCTTGAAATAATATCCTTTTATAATGAACTCACATTTTAAAACTCACACTAGCTATTTCATTGAACTTCAGGGTTTGGAATAGGGCTATTCATAATAAATAATACCTTTTTTATGGTAAAGCAACTATGGATACTCATTTCCTTTGTTAGAATTTTCTTTATAAGGTCAAGGAAGGTCATTAACAAGTGATGCATGGCAGAGCAGTGTGATCTTCTCATGACTCAGCTATTACTTTTATACAGGTTTTAAATGTCAGGACTGAAATTCATAGAACTCTCTTTAGACTCTATAGGGATATGTTCAACAAAATTATTTTTCATTTCTCAGCTGAAGCCACATAGTGCAACTTGGCAGAAAACTGTCAAAAATGCTATTGGTTATGTATCTCTTTCTATCTTCTTTCATTATCAATGTGAGACAGACCTGTAAGGAATTTGTTTGGAACGCCTGAAATCAAAGTAAATTTACATGAAGTAAAGCTTTAACTGTCACAAAATATTAAACTGTCAAATTCATGGAAGAAACTGGCAATAAATTGAAAAAACTGTTATATCACTGAAATAAAGAGCAGATCTTTCACAATACAATTTCAGCAATGCAGAAGTTCCTAAACTCACTTCAGCTTATTTTGATTTTCTTTCTTTCTTTTTTTTTTTTTTTTTTTA